CACAAAAGAAAAAAGAACTCAGCTGGTTATGGCAAAGCCACAGCCTGAAGGGATCAAGGAATTCCTTCAGAGGAGGCCAAATCTCAGGGGGAATTTGGTGCTATTTGCCTCTTTATATATCAGCTGTCTTCTGCTACAAATATCATGTGTACCTTCACAGAATTGCTAACAGTGTGGAGACTGATCACTCTTTTGACATATACACCTGAGGTATTTAGAAAACAGCCTCAGGAAAGGCTTCCTTCCATAAGGTTCATCTGTTTCTCCCCTTTTAGCACTGGAATCAGATATTTCCCTTAGCTGGATCCAAGGACAAACAGAAATAACAACTCACACCAGAACATGCTAGTCTCCTGAATTATGGTAAATTCCACACAGAGACACCACCTAGATCAGGTGGTATGTAAGTTTATAACTTCATACAAATAAAGCTTGGGCCCTCCTTTTTTATATAGCATTAGTGATATTTACACTAACATTATAGACTCCTAACATTTTACCTAACCACTTCTAGGAATGTAGATTGAGCACATAAATTCCCTTGTTGATATATTAACCAATTTTAGCTCTCAGTTAACCTTCTCCTTTACCTCTCCATTTTTGGGTTGTAAAAGAAAACCTGACAGTCACTGCCTAAAGAATATTCTTACCTGCCTTTATGATCCTGTAAGAATTCAAGCCTGGTGATCCGGTGTGAGGGAGATGATTGCTATTGCTTGGGTTTATAACTGTAAACCTCAGAGAATCTGGGGAAGACTAAATCTATTGAATAAGAGCTCAGTGTGCTGAGATTCTTTTCCTGAAAATAATTTTTTGCTGTTCATAGCTTCACTTCCCGGCTCCTGGGAAGATGTTTATTAAGGCTGCTCCATAATTTTTGAGATTTACCATTTTGGCCTAGGATGTTAGAAAAAAATACACTGTTAAAAGTTCTTGGGGAAGTTGTGAATGCACTTATAATTCTTAACAACAGACAGCTGATATATCAATAAAGCTGAATAACATCTAACACTGCTTGAGATTTGGGTTCCTCCAGAAGAATGCCGTGATTTTTTCAGGGTTAGCTTTGTCAAATTCAGTTGAATTCTTACTACATTCATGCAGCTTGTAACAATGAACTGCTATAAGGATTCATTTAGGAAAGATTCCTTATGAATTTGAATACAATACTTGGAGGAGAAGAGTTACCACACCATGCCCTACTTATAAGTGTAAGTGGTTTTTACATCACTGAATTTGTGTTAACTTATTGTGAGCAATATAAAAATAATACAACACAATTTCTCATAAAAACCTATGTGTGTAAACTTGGAGGGCCATAAACAAAAGATATAGTCCTTGCAGTAACTCCCTTTCTGTACGTACTCCAACTGCTCAAGGTTCAGCCAGTTTTTTAGTGTCTGGGACCCCTCACCAACTTAGAGCTACATGCATGGATCAATGTGAACAGGCAAGGCCAGCCAGCCTCCATAGCAGCTCAAGGAAAAAGCCTGGTACTTGTCCAGGCCTGCCCAAAAATGATAACTGTAACCCACCCACAACCAGTAAATTCAAAGGTACATATCCTCACCCAATCATATGACCCAAAGACTTGTACCACCCTGCTTGCAGGTTTCCCCTTTAAAAACCCCTCACTCTGGGTGGGAGTAGAGGGTGGGTTGTGAGGGAGAGGCTGGGAGTATGGGAGGAGGGAAGAGGGAGATCTTTGATTGGTATGTAAAATGAATGAAAAAATTTTCTTAATAAAAAATAAATAAATAAAAGATCCTCACTCTGAGAGCTCAGGGCCATCCTCCTTAACCCTCTTAGTTGGAGTATTAGACACAAACCCAGTCAGGGCTTGCTTGTTATCAATAAGCCCCTCTGTGTTTTACATCAGATATTGGCTCTGTGGTGATCTGGCTCGGTGGTCTTGCGATGTGGGCACAACAGTAGGACAAACACACATATTAGGTGAAGAAAGCTCTGTTTCACAGCTTCTCCCTTTTTACAAACAAGATTCCTAAAATCACATGGTTGAGATGTCTGGTGAGAAACAGCTCAGAGACTGAACGTCAGTGAGCAGCAAACCTAGGAGGATTTTGTGGAGCCCTGGAGCACTGTGGGAGGAAGCTTCCTAGTCTGTTGACAGTGATAGGTTGCAGCATCATCAGCCTCCACAGGATGGATGGTGAGGGTGAAGTCTGTCCCAGACCCACTGCCACTGAACCTGGCAGGGACCCCAGATTTTAGGTTGGATGCTCCATAGATGAGGAGTGGGGAGGACTGTCCCAGTTTCTGTTGGTACAGGTTGATATAACTATAACCAGATACAATGACACTTTCGCTGGCCCTGCAGGAGATGGCTGCCTTTTGCCCTAGAGACACAGGCAAGGAAGCTGAAGACTGGGTCAGGACAATGTCAACAGTAAAGCCTGGATTGATAAACACACCTTGCTATCACAAATTTACTGATTGCACCCCAGTGTAAAACCATCTCATATGTGGAATCTGTGTTAGTCATGAGCTACACTCTGAGAAGCCATAAAATAAAAGAAAAACTTAAAAGCAATTAATGTCCTCATTTCAATGATCGGGACACCAAAGCATGGAAAAGAACAAGGGCTACAAGGGATGTTCCCAACACTGCACCCTCTCTCCTGGAACCCAGAGCAGCAGTACCCACAGCAGGAGAGAAG